TTTTTTTTTTTTTTTTTTTTTTTTTTTTTTTTTTTTTTTTTTTTTTTTTCATTTTAATCACATAAGAATAATTTCCAAATATATATATAAAATTTCATCTATTTTTGTAATTATTCTATACGAATTATTCTATACGTAGTATTATTTCTATTTTATTATTATTTGTAGTAGTAGTATTTTGTGTATACTTAGTATTTTTGTAATATTGTTTATATATCTAGTATTTATGTAGTATTATTTAAATGCAGTTAATATAATGGGAGCTTTTTTCAAAATCCCAAATAAATTTGCTGCTGATCTCTTTTGCCGCCCCCCTCCCCCGGTCGCCGCCTCATTCGTTTTGGTGGTCTTCCATTTCAGAGTCCACTAACAAAACTCGTTGTTGCGTTTGACCCGGGCTAAGAGGAAGCAGGAACTCAGCTTGGCTCTGTTTTGTGTTACGTGTTTCGTGTCTCGTGTCTCCTCTGTGCCTTTTGGCTTTTGTGGACTGTTTCCAGCTGCTTTTGTTGCTGCTGCTGCTTCTGTTGTTGTTGTAGTTGTTGTAGTTGTTGTTGCTTCCCTTTTTCTCAGTTGCTTATCGTTGCCTCTGGCCGTCGGCACAAGACCCGCCCGTTAATTATCTCTGTCTTCTGTTTTTGTTGTTGTCGTGTTTTTTTTTCTTTCTTTTTCGATTTACTTCTTGGAAATGCGTTTGGCGAAATGCTGCCACGTTTTGTGGCCTGCAGTTTATCAGTTGGGCAGCACTTTTTTTTTTGCTTTTTGCTGTTTTTTTATTATTTAGTCTTTTGGGGCGTGGGCGCCACACATCATACAATACAATACATATATATATATAAAGAAATAAAGAAAACATGGCCGTTCGCAGTTTGCAGTTGTTATTTCTTCGTCGTTTTGGTTTTGTTTACCTTTTGGCAAATACGTAATAAAAAACAAAATAAATAGACTCGCCTTTTGTTTTGTTTTCTCTTTGATTTCCTTGCTTTTCTTTGTTGTTGTTGTTGTTGTTGGGTTAAACAATAAAGTTTTGCAATAAATTTAATTGGAGACTCGAGACCACGTACAAAAACCACTTGTCTGCTGTTTTATAGGGTCGCCCTGTATCTATGTATATGTATATATCTAGCTGTTCTATATAGTTAGTTCTGCTGACTTCACACCATTTGGCAGCAGCAGCAGCAGCAGCAGCAGAGCTCGAGCTTCTTTCATTCAGCTTCAGCTCTTGGCTGTGGAGGGTGAGCCGTTGCCTTCGACTATCTTTTCAGTTTTGTATTCATTATCTCAGTGACTAGATTTCAACCTGACTTCCAATTTGTATATAGCGTTTGAGTGCGTCTGTGTGTGTGTGTGTCTGTGTCTGTGCACTGTGGGGCAGCTCTCGCCTGACAGCGGGTGGTTCAGGCCCTAGTCTGTCTGGTCTGGTCTGGTCTCTTATTAAAGCTGTGAGCTTAAATTGATTCGCACGTCACGAACGCGGCTTCTCTTTCATTAGAAACGTGCGTAGCCAACTAGAGCGTGAGTGTGAGTGAGCTGGCTATAGTGGAGGTTAGACAGTGACAGCAAGTGCAAATATTTGGCAGGCTTCACATAAAAAGTTTAGCAAACGCCCAAGTTTTGTCGACAGCAGTCCGAAAATTCAATTCAATTCAAGGTATCTTTTGGCATTTTCCCGTTAAAGATTGACCCACAGCTTTTCGGCCAAGTTTGCAGGACGGCCCAAACCACAGTTGCCACAGCGAAAGTTTTGTGGTGCTGCGATACCCAAGGCATCCTTCACAAACACAGAGAGAGAGAGAGAGAGGGAGAGAGAGTGGGAGCGAAAACTTTACAGTTGAGTTAAGCGGGCGACTTTGGCTAAACTAGAATTTCCCCCCCAACCACACCTTGCGTACTTTCAGTCCAATATGTCGCGCATGTGACATTTATGTGGCTAACCTGAAAAACATTTAGCCACAATCACTGATGCGACACGCCATTCGATCAACGGAATGTCAGCCCTAACCTCACTTATTGCGATTAACCTTAAGAAGATGTGGTAGAGATATACAGATGCGGTGATGTGGTAATGTAGACATATAGAGATGTGTGTGGTTGCTTCTGAGAGATGCGATACGATCTTGTAACTAACTGTTAAATGTGTTTAAGAATACTCTATAGGCATTATTAGAGAGAACATTTTCATTTATACTAATATATTTTTAATATCATATATTATTTTTATTATTATTAACAGAGCTGAGAAATGTTATATAGAATATTTTAGCTAAAATTTATTGGTATATTATTCGTAACCCCAATACAATTATTTAGCCTGCGAATACAAACATTGAAAAGCCTCTTAAACTAATTCCATTGTTTATTGAGACTTATGAACTTATTGTTTAACCTCAATATTTGCTATAATCCGCACAAATATTGAGCAAATGTTAAACAAGGTTAACAAATCCTCTTAGCTCACATTTGAGTAAACCCATTGTATTATTATTTATTGAACTATATCAATTAATAGTTTCATATAATCTACCTAGAATTCTGTCTTCCTCTGTCATTCCATACTCATATTATATTAAATTTATTTAATATTCTTATAATAATATGTTTTACTTATAATTTATATATTAATCTAAGCATATTCCTGAAACATTCTTCCACATATCATAGATTCTCTTTCTCTCGATCTTTCTCTTTATATTTCAATCTTCATTTCATAGTCTATCTACATCCTAATTCTCGTCTTCATTTTTATAGTCTATGTGCATATCTATACATCTATAAAATTAGGTTACCAAAGCCCGCTGGCATGTAAATGATCTTACCCTGGTCGTGATTTTTTTTTCCCTCTTTTCCTTTTTTTGGCTCATGGCAAGGACCCTAAGCCGGCGACCCCTCATCTGCTGATGTTCCCATATACAACTCGAAATTCCTTTCGCTTATTCTTCTGGGCTATACAATTGTTCAATTCTTTTCACAAAAATCATTTTGATTGAAGGCGAGCGACGTTTTTTTTTTTTTTTCTTTTTCTTTACTTCATTCTTTCTTTCTTGTTTTCGTTTCCTATGAAATGCGACTTAATGCTAGTTCCTGTGCGCCACCACCACCACCACCATCACCACCAGCAGCAGCAGCAACCACTCTGTGTGGCGGCAATACAGCGCATGCCATACAGTTGCCCCTGCCCCTGCCCCTGCTCCTGCGGCATTTGTTGCGTGCCATAAAAGCAATTGCATCTGCCGTCTAATTTGTACGTTTTCTGTCTCTCTCTCTCTCTATAATATATCTCTCTCTATTAATATATCCTTATATATATCTATTCATCTGTGTGTGTGTGTGTGTGCGTCGTCTTCCTTCCTTTTGCACCAAGGAAGTCGCTAGCTGCTCTACGCGCGACTGACTTCTTATTCTCGACTCATTTTCCCGCTTTTCATCATGTGAGAATTGCAGCCGGTCTTGTCGCTGTCTCTCCCTCGCACTCTGTCTCTCTCCCTCTCTCTTTCACTCGATTTCTTGTCTTTTCCATTTGAGTGCACACACATGTGTGTCGCCTCTGTCCTTTGGGCATTATGCAACACCTCGTTTCTAACCACGCGCTCTTCCTCTTCTTCTGCTTCCTTTTACAGATCCGATACCACACTGCAGGCGATTGTCTATAAGCTCGTGCCTGGCCTCTATGAACGGGAACTCATGCGTAAGCGCGCCTTCTACAAGGATCGTCCCGAGGAGGCGGCACTGGCCACGCCCGAACAGCGTGGCGATGATACGGAGCATTTGATATTCAGTCCATCCGATGATATGTCTCTGTCGCTGGAGTATGCGGAACTTGGGTAAGTTTCCAGGCTTGGAATATTATGAATCGATATAAATACATTTTCATCGAATGTAAGGTAGAAAAGGAGTTATCGTTTATAATCGATAGGTTTTTTTTCTAATGGTGGTTTACTTTTGGGATCTATTTTACTTGGGTTTAATATATTGCAGAACTTTTCGGGATAAACATAATGCAGATTTACAGATATCCAAGTTTTATAAAGTTATCGATTATATTTTACTGATTCAGTTCAATTTAAATTGAATATATTTCGCATTTAAGAGAAGTTATGAATATTTGGAACAAAATTTATATTTTGCTTTCGAATTCAATGTAGAATAATGGGGAACTCAGTTGGATTATATCTAGCTCTAGCGAATCGTTTCTCTTCTTGTTTATACCCTATCTGCGATAGCTCTACCAACCACCTCTTTTGACACTCTCTAATTCACCGTTTCTTCCACTCCATCTTTCATCCCTTGCAGTGAATTGAATACCGATTCGGAGCTGGAATTCGGTGATACATTGCGTCCGCGTTATCTGCAATGTCCGGCCATGTGCCGTGTTAGCCACTTGAAGAAGTTCGTCTACGACAAGTACGAGATTGATGCCAACAACTTTAGCATCGATATCATGTACAAGGTGAAGACAATTGCGCTGCAGGATTACTATACGCTCATGGATATCGCGTATATCTACACGTGGAAGCGTGATGCGCCGATGCGCTTCTTTTTCCGTGTCTACGAGTCCCCCAAGAAGCCACTGATCAAGCCTGCCCCGGCGGTGGTCAAGCCACAGATTCTGCCCTTGAAGCAGGAGCGTGTGTCTCCAGCAGCCACGCCCCCTCCGGCGCCTTTGGCCATCAAAGTGCCCACGCTGTCGCCGCCAGCGCTTCTGGCAGCAGCTCCAGCCAACACTCCGTCTCCTGCTCAATCGCCACGCATCAAAGTGGAGCAAACCCAGGACGAATTTCGCATTGCGCCCAAATTGCATTCACCCACTGACCAGTCGCTCAAGATGGTCATCAATCGCAATGTGGTGGAGAAGCCCGAGAAGCCTGAGAAGCACTCGCATCAGCATCATCATCATCATTCGCCAAAGTCGAGCTCCAAGAGTCCGACCACCAAGTGCCCGCCTCAGTCGCCCGTCGGCTACAACAAGGAGGAGCCCAACATCAAGCTAAAGATTGATCTGTCCAAGCACAATAGCGTCACCATCATCAACATGTCCGATCCGGATCGCAAGGAGATTGTCAAGCCGCTCAAGCCGGAGAAGGAATCGCGCTCCAAGAGCAGAAAAGACAAGGATGGCAGTCCGAAGTCATCCTCCAACGGCAGCAGCCCCTCCTCCTCTTCCAGCGAGCGCAAGCGCAAGAGCCCCTCCCCATTGACCGTGCCGCCCCTCACCATTCGCACGGAACGCATCCTGAGTCCCAATGGAGTTAGCACCGTGCTCAGCCCGCGCGTCACTAGCGGCGCCTGCCTGGAGGATCCCAAGTCCGAGTTCCTCAAGTCGTTTGCTCTGACGCCCATCAAGGTGAAAGTCGAGTCGCCGGAGAAGCAATCGCAGTCAAAGATTAGCGTAGCATCCGCTGCTGCTGCTGCTGCTCCAGCACCGAACAACAAATCCAAGTCCCACCTGGACGATAGTCTGCTGATGAAGCCGCCCAGCGCCATGCCGCCCAAGTCCATAGCCTCCTCCAAGCGCAAGAGCAAGGAGCCCGTCAAGGCACTCTCCAAGAAGCCCAAGCTGTCGCCTCCGCTGCCTCGTGAGGACTTTAAGATACGCCTGCCCGCGCCCATTGTCAACGCCAGCAACGGGCCGACCGCGGACAAACCGCTGATGCCCCCGCCTCCTGCCAAGCCTCCACTAGCACGCAACAGCAGCAGCAGCAACAGCAAGCTGGCAAATGGACCACAGACGCCACAGCTGCCCATCTACGCGCCCCAACATCACGCACATCCACTGCAGCAGCCACAGCAGCAGCAGCAACAACAACAGCAGCAGCAGCAACCACATTTCGCACCACCGCAAGGACATCATGCAGGACTGCAAATGTCAGCACCGGGCAATCGCACGCCCATTGCCAAGCGCTATCAGCCAATTTTGCCAAAGGCAGCGCGTCCGAATCCTTTCGCCAATATACCCAGCGATGTGAATCGTTTGCTCAAGGATGCGGGCACCGAGATCAAGACAATTGGTGGTCAGAGCAAGACGCACGTGTATGGGCCGAAGCAAGGTGAACACAAAATGGGACCGCCGCCAGTGCCCAAGACAAACAACAACAGCAACAACAACTCTGGCAACAACAACACCAACAACAAGTCGAGCAACTATCTAAACCTGGCCTTGTACAACTTCAGCAAATCGAAGGGCAAAGAGGCGCCGCCCGGCTGCCGCACGCCCATGTACACGCCCAATTCGCCCATCTATTCGCCCAGTTCGCCGCAATATGTGCCCAACTATAATATACCGACCATGCCCACCTACAAATACACGCCCAAGCCGACAAACACGGCCGCGACGGCATCGTCATCATCATCATCAGCAGGAGCAGGAGCAGCAACAACAACAACAACAACATCGGCAGCTGCCACCAGCACAACAACAACAAATGCCAGCGCCTATTTGCAGAGCATGCTGAATGGAGCTGCGGGCGGTGGCCTGGGCGCTTGCGGCCTGTTCCCCAGTCCGCCCATCAAGGCGGACCAGAACACCAATCCCGCCGCCGAGGATGCGCCCGAGAAGCAGCAGGTGAAGGTGAAATCGCTGCTCAACTCGTGCAACATCAATATACCCTCATCGCTGTCGATAACCATATCGCGTGACAATGGTGACGCCTCCTCGCCCAGCAATGGGGCGCATGCCAAGCACAAGAGTCCCGTTAACAATTACATTGAGATTGTCAAGCTGCCCGATCAGCCAGCCCTGGACAAGGAGAAAGAGAAAGAGAAGGAGAGAGAGAGGGAGAGGGAGCGCGAGAAGGTAACGTCCATGGCGCCTGTGAAACTTCCCGCTCCGCCAAGCAAGACAATACCCTCGCCGCAGCATCTGCTGGCACGGCTCACGCCGCCCTCCGCTGTGACCACTGTGCCGCCCAAGACGTCGCCCAAGGCCACGCCCACGCCCACGCTGAAGCCGCTGCAGCAGCCCGCGCAAATGGAGGGCAAGAAGACGCCCAGCCCAGAGAAGCGCCAGCACTCGCCCAATGCAGGCGAGAATAAGTCGCCCAAGGCGGGGCAAGCGGGAGCTGGCGGAGCAGGCGCTGCCTCAACGGCCTGCGGCGAGACGGCGGCCAAAAAGTTTCGACCCATTTTGCCGCGTCAGAACTCGGCTGCAGCTAATGGCAACACGGCCGAGCTGCCTGCCGCAAAGCTGCAACAGTTGCCGGCTCCTGCTAATGCTGCTGCTGCAGCCGCCGCCGCCGCTGCCTCTGCCTACAACTTTGCAAACAACCAGAACAACAACAACAAAGCTAACAAGGTGCCCGCCAGCAAAAAGTCGCCCAACAATGCGCATGCCAATGCCAATGGCATTGCCAGCCAGGCCCTGATCAAGGCCAACGCGGCCAATGCAGCCAAGCGCAACAGCAGCGGCAATAACAAACATCATGCCGGCGGCCCGAACAACTCGAATCTGAAACTGATGGCACCGCCGCCTCATCCGCATCCGCACATGAATGCGCCGCTGAGCATCGCCTCGAGCGCCAATCAGCTGGACTTGAACTTCTTCAAGGAGAATCTGATGCGCGCCCAGGCGGCGCAGGTGGCGGCGGCAGCAACGAATCCCTCGAATCTGCTGTTCAACTTTGCGCCCGCCGTCTATCAGCAGGCCTGCCTCATGGAGCAGCTGTCGCGCATGCAGCGTGCCGGCCACGAGGTGTTCAACGATTACCTGCAGAAGGTGCGGAGTGCAGCCGGCGGTGGCAACGAGGGCGCTGGCGGCGGTGAGCAGCGGCAGCAGCAGGTGATGCCCATGCTGCCCAATGTGACGCTGCCAACGCCGCCAACGTCCACGCATCATCAGCCTTTGGCATCGGCGGCCAGTCCCAAAAGCTCGCCACATGCGGCGACCAAATTGACGCCAGCAGCGACGCCGAAAGGCAACGGCAACAGCAGCGGCAGCAACAGCGGCAGCAAGTCAGCAGCAGCAGCAGCAGCCAACAGCAACAGCAACAACAACAACAACAACAACAATTCGCTTTCACTTACCAAAAGCAAGTGAAGCAGACGGGAAAAACCAAACCCACCCAACCCAGCCAAGCACCCACCTAGCAGAAGGAAAATCAACCCCCAGCTGCGACAGCAACGTTACGTTCGACCCTCGTTTATTGTGGGCGAAAGCTGTGCGCTAATTAATATTTAAAGAGGTCTCTCCTTTTATTTTGTTTTTAGTTTTATAAACACATATACCGTTACGTTGTATATACATATACATATATATATATATACATAAGCATTTAAGCTGTAAATAAATATGATACGATCTTACATATATAGATACATATATATATATATAGCTAGCTATACGATTATACGACAGCAAGACAGAGCGATTCAGAATCAATAAAATCTAAGTTTTTTGTATACATACGAGATTTGTTCGTATTTGATTTACGTAAGGCTTAGCTTTAAGTGTAAGCTCTTAGCTGTTTGAATATGTAAAGCTCTTTTAAAGCTGCTAACGGCCGAACGGCTGGACAGTAAAATAAATGCAAGAATTTGCAGACTAATAAATTCAATAATATCTAAAGCAACTCGAAAAGATTTTAACTGTATTGATAATCAGAGGAAAAAGCATTTAAAGCTGAGGGAAGCATTTTTAAAACGGTTTTTAAAGCTGCTTACACAACCGAGTAGAGCTTTCATATTAAATCAATTGTTCTTTAAAGCTCCTGAAAAGTTTTAACTTTGGCATTAGTATATGAAATACTAACGTCAATCACACACACACAGCTCATGCAGAGCTTTAAGCTTTACAAACAAAACGTCAAAGCACATTGAAAGCTCACGATTTCTGTTCATATCGGGGCCATTTTTGGATGTCTAGTTATAAGTGCCAAGAGGCGACCAAGCGTTGGAGCTGAATGAATGAAAGTTAAATGTAAATTTTGTTGTACAATATTTAATATAAAGAACCAGCGGATAATCGATAAGAATAAAGCAAAAATCTATTTAAACGAGTATTCAAATACAAATACAAATGCAAACATACAAAAGCCGTATTTATTCTTGAATGGTCAAATGGAGAGTTGATGCTAATCAACTCGGGTCACAAGGTCAATGCAATGCGTGAAGGCCGTCGCCTCACAGCGACGCGTCGCGACGTCCTTTTTCTCCTAATCTGCCCGCTGTGACCGTCGATGCCGTCGCCCGTTGTCCGTCCGTCCGCTCGGCTTTGTCCGCCCTTTAAAATGAAAAATGCCCAAGACAAAAGGAAAATAAAAGATTACGAATTTCGGAATTGGGAATTGGCCTTAGAATTGGGTATCTCTGTCGCTATCGCTGTCCCTGTCGATGTCGGTTTTGGGTTCGATATGCTCGGAAATTCAGATGCATTGTTATTGTTTTCTTTTTGCCTTTGCTTTGCTTTTCCTTATTTTTGCCATTCCTTTTTCTTTTCCTTTTTTTCTCTTTTTTTTGCAAGTTTCCCATTTCGAAAATTGGCAATTTTCAAGGAACGAGTCCCAGAAGACGCGACAGGACATACGGCTAATGCATATGCCGAAGGCAAACAGACAGAAAGGATATAAGGGTAGACCGTGCGTCTCTTAGTTAGGATAGGTGTTGTCCTTTAAGGGTGGATTAGGTGCGAATTGGCTTAGCCTGGCGCTGAAAATCACAAGATTTATGTGCAACCAAAGCGCTGAGATGAATATATGCATTAGCTAAGGGGTATTCCAGCTAGGAGATATGGAGGTGGAACTGTATGGCATGAATGGGCATTTTATGTAATATTTTATAATAGATGTGATTATAGATATCGGAAGATATGATTGATTAGAGAATATGTATATATATAGGGAGTCAATATTATACCCAATCTCGATATATACACATGCAGATATCTACATATATACATAAAATCATATCTAAGGCTATATACAATTTACCGATAAAGATAAACCTCTTATAAAGCAGCTTAACTCATCGTAATTTTTCGAGGTAGACAACAGAAATATCGTATATTAATCGTAATCTCAATTAATTACAGCTAGCGCCAAGTACCCCCCAAAATACATCAATAATATTTTGGGGAGTACGTTATTTGTCCGCTTAAAGCCACAATCAATGGCACTTAATGTGGCGACAAGCGTGGGATTTGGCCAATTAAATTGTGTACCTTGTCTCGGTGTGGCAGCAACTTATGGCTGGCTGCCCCAAAAAGTCGAGAGAAAGCAATTTAGCGCCATTATGTAATCCAAATGCTAAGCACATAAATTGTCATTTAAGCGGGAAAACTACGACCACGTCTAGAACAAATTGCAATTAAAGGACTTGGCGCCTCGCAGGAAACTTTGTGCTATCCACAAAAAGCCGAAAGGACACATGTCGAAACTTTTGCCATACGAAAAATTCAATTAGAGCAACTTTCGGAGTGGGCGGAGAAAAACCTGAACAACTGATAAATGAGTGAACTCCTTCAGGCTCGTTCTAGTGGTTATTCCAATAGCTGTTTGTAACTCGATACGAACTCATTAATTACAATTACACGCGCATAAACAGAAATCAAAGCAAGCACAGGTGGAATGAAGCTCAGAAAATATTTGTGCCTTTAATGAGTTCATAGGGAAATATGAAACTGGGGAAAACATTTCCCATTGAACTTTTCAAAAACTGGTCTAGACTGAAAACTGAAAACAGAAAAACAGCTATTAAATAGTGAAAAGTTCGTTTTTATATCGAGTGGGTTTTGGCATTAGAATAGCTTCTGTAGAAGGTAAATGATGAATGTATTACAAGTGCATTATAGCGCATTCTGGACCCAAAATAAATAGATAAACAATAGATAGTAGTTGAATAGTCTATATATAGAAATAAATAAGAGATAGATACATAGATGATGTTTTTAATTACTGTTCAGTTTAAGACACATTAACAATATAAACATAAATTAAAAAAAAAAAAATCCAACATAATATATTATAATTTTTCCGTTAAGTTTTCTTTTTATTGGAGCCCTTTGCAATATAATTTTATTTAAACAGAATTTAAAAAAAAATGTAATATTTAAAGATTTAAGAGAACACGCTTACCTTTCTACAAAAAGGCCGCCAGCTAACGAACACTCTGCTCTCACTCTGTCTCTCTTTATCTTTCAACCATTTTAACACGCTCAGTCCTCGCCTTCACTCACTTTAACACTCAATAAATTGTTCTCCTTCACTCCCTTTGTCGCTCAATTCAAAGCTGCATGCGGCATAGGGCACTTTAGCAATTGCTCCTGCTCGCACTGAGCGCTCTCGCTCTCTTCTCTTTGCAAGCTGTAACCACTCACATATGCACATTAGGATTGAATTATTGCCCACTTCTACTCTAACTCTCACATTTCTCTCTCTCTCTCTTCTTGTGGCACAAAGCGCGCACGCAATAAAAAACACACTCAAAGCACGCACAGCTTTCAAATTAATGAAAAATCAATGAAAACGCAACGATCAAAAGGACAAACGCGTGCTAACTGAATTGCATCAAAGAGCTTTCTTCTTCACTTGCCATACATGGCCACTGCAGCACTCTCTCTCTCATTTCACATTTAACGGGATCGAAAGCCACACAATGAATTTTTGATTTACTTCTACTTAAAAGATGAAGAACATAGCTTCGAGTTAATTATAATTTAATGAATCAGCTATTTCATTGCATTTCAATAAAAGGGAAATGTCAAAATCTAAACGCTTTGATTTATTACTCTTCACACGCAATATAATTTATAGCCATTTAATTAACTCTGCTCTTTTCTTTGTCAACACGCACGACCGATCAACAGGATGAACGCACCATCACTAATTAGACTAGCAGAGCTTGCGCCTACGCTCAGGCGACATTTCATCTGCAGGCTCGTTCAGCTAACGGGATCAAAAGCAATGGCCCAACAATTTCGTGCAACGTAGTTGAGTTTGAAATAGCAAGCGCGCCCACTCACAGTCTGTACTCTACGCTCTATGCACTCTCTACACACGCTCTCTCATTCTATTTTGCGACTGCAGCTTTTTACTTATACCTTTTTACTTATACAAACATATTAGTTATTCAGTTATAAGAGTTATCTTATATTGCAAATCGAGTGGCTTTTAAATACGATTTTTTATGACTTGTTTTGAATATTCATTTCGTAATTTGAGCGTGTGCTTAATTGTAATTTCTTTTGCATTTCTAATTAACGACACGAGCTAAAGTTGTTGTGAGTGTGTGTGTGAGTGAGTGCTTGTGTTCGTGTGTGGTTAGGCTGCTTACACAAATGATTTATAAATGTTGTTTTAATGCGCTAAAAGCCAAGCGCATTAAACTTGTTTCTCAGATGTGACCCAAAACACAAACACTCGGATATACATATGTGTGTATGTATGTATAAGAGCGTGTGAGCATATGTGTGTGTGAGTTTCAGGTGACTGCATATGAGTAGCAGCAGCTTGCACAGTGGGTGGGAGTTCAGCAGAGTGAGAGTGAGAGCGAGAGATATATTGGGTGTCTGTGGTGCTTTGCTTAATTATTGTAATTGGAGTTTTTGGCCCAAAACCGCGCCAATGCATAAATTATTCAATCCACGGGGCCAAGGCGACGCATTTGGCTAAAAGTTTATGAATGAATACCAAATGAGTGCCCAAAAAAAGTTTAGCTTGAATCGTTGAACTCTAAATGGCCGCCATTATTCATGTTTTTTCGTATAAAGAGTAAAAGTTCAGAAAAGTTTATATGTATCTTTCAAACAGCTTTAAGCAAATAAAATACTTTTAATTCTTTTTTTAAGTGTTTTATTGAGCTATTTCGTTTAATTCTTCCTCTCGTCTTCTTCTTCTCGCTGAAGTGTCATTCTAATTTCGTTTGGTTGCACCATAAATTCATGTAATGTAATTGAAATCCCCGCATTAAGATCCAATTAGTCCACCATTATTAATATACAGCACGGACGAGACGATAA